AGCTGATTGTGCCAGGGTCAAAAAAATATCCACAATACTGAATCTTTAGTCTTATAATGTTCATCTGTGAGCAAATAAATGTTGATGCACAAATATTTACATGGCAAAAATCCATCTAATTTTTTACTTGACAAAGGAACACAGGTAAATGTCTAAAGGGCACACACATAAAAAATGTTCAACATCATTAGTAATCAGGAAACCCCAAATAAATCACACGATATCATTGCATACCCACCAGAGTGGCTAAAGTGAAAAAGAATGGCAATGCCAATTGTTGGTCAAGACATGGGAGAACTGGAATCTCATACACTGGGAGGGAATGGGGCAGCCGCTTTGGAGAAATGTCTGACAGTGTCTTATAAAACTGAACTTACCCAAGAGAAGTAAGAGCATCAGAAGGATTGTACAAGAAACAGCTGCTTTCTCCACACCAGCCAAACACTGGAATAGGCTTGAGAGAATATCATCAGGAGAATAACCGTGGAATACTACCCTTCGGTAGAAAGGCCAGAGCTACCGTGACACAAGACGGTGTGATTCTCAATATTTTACGCAGCGTGAATGCGCCCTCACACGCAAGAGTACGTAGCGTGCAAGTCCGTTCTATGGAAGTCTCGAACTGGCAGAACTAACCGATAGTGACCCAAAGTCAGAACTGTGGGCGTCCCAGTGGGGTCATAGGGCCTGGGAAAGGTCGTGGGAACTTTCTCTGTCTTGATACAGGTTTGGATTAGACTTAAATTGTATGCACTGTGCCATTGGTAAATTTTAGAAAAACCCACTAATAATGAACCCTAATTAATGATACGCATGCTGGAGCCTTGAAAGAGTGAAATGCGCTCATGTCTACAACTTCGAAAGTGCATCCAAAAGCAGTCTGGATTTATGCACAACTAGAGGGATGGGCAGATGTGTGATAAAGCCATTATAGAAAAATGTTAATTTTAGAATCTAGGACAGGGGTTGGTTAAAGTTTTCCTGTAAAGGGCCAGATAGTAAATATTTTAGACTTTATGGACCACACGGTCTCTATCCATCCACTTATCTTGTCCATTGGTGCAAGAAACCAGCCTAGACCACATGTAAGATAAATGCAGTGGGTCTGTATTTATGGATGCTGAAATTTGAATTTCACATCGTCTTCATGGGTCACCCGATATTTCTCTTCTTTTGATTGTTTTCCAACCATTGAAAGACATGAAAAGCAGGCAGTGAGTGAGCTGAGCCCGCACACTCTCGCTGGCTGTCCTCCGATGTGGTGGGTGGTTCTAGGAGTGTTCGCTGTACTGTTCTTTCAACCTTCCTCTGTCCCTTCGACCCTTGAGGCACGTGGGTGTGAACTGCACAGGTCCACTTAGACGCAGATTTCTTTTAAATACAGTACTGTACTGTAAATGTATTTTCTCTTTGTTATGACTTTCTTAATAATAGTTTCTTTCCTGTAGCTTACTGTACCGAGAGAATACAGTATACAGTACGTATAACATACGACATAGGCGTTAATTGACTGTTTAGGTTATCAGGAAGGCTTGTAGCCAACAGTAGGCTCTTGGTAGTTAAGTTTTGGGGGATCTATACATGGATTTTTGGCCGGGCAGGGTTTGGTGGCCCCAACCTTTGCGTTGTTCAAGGGTCAACTGATTTGAAACTTTTTCATAGTAAAATACTGGGGGAAATACCAACAAAGTTAACAAGTAAACCGTAACAGTTATTTTCTTAAATGCCTCCTGTTAATACTGTGATCCTGGATACCCACCATCCCCTTTCCTATAACTTTTGCTCTTTAGGTGTTGAAACATTTTGGGTACTTAAGTATTCAGAGCTGGGATGCGTTGTTATAAATGGCATTCTTTATTATTCTAAAGAGCCCTTCTTGGCCTTGCTCCTAAACTCTGCCTCGCCCTACATTAACTACATGCTTTCCCCGTCCTTTGGGTTTTCAACTTTCCTCAGCCCCACAGGATTAAGAGTGCCTTCTAGACAGGGTGCAGACCTGGGGGGTTTAGGTGTTAGGTTTGTCCAGTTTACGTATATAACCTGACATGTGCTTGACCTTAGTTCCCTCGGATTTCTGTAGGTTACACTCTTTCTTTTTGTAACATGGTGCCGTATCCACACATGGCTTCCGGGTAACTCCTCATCCAGCCCCACGTGCTCTGCTCCCCAGAACCAACTCCAGCTTGGGGGAGCTCCCCCTGCCTGCTCACTGGCCTCGCCTGCCCTGTCCATTCCAGACACCCTCCCTTGGCCGTACACTCTTTTGGTGCCTTTTTTAAAACTGGCCACTGTGGGATCATCTCTCCACCCCAAGTACGCCTTGCTTTCCGGGTGCCTTCCACCTGCCTCCCGGCTTGCGGTCTCATGTGTGGCCTCTGCTCATCAGAGGGAGAGTTCATGCTTCCGTCCTTATTGCACTAGTTCTTTGCGCATCTTCCTCGAGGCAGAGGGGAGTGCTGACTTAGACCACCTTCTTTAAACGGGAAGTCGTGCAGTGCATCTTAAAAGGGTACCAGCTCTAATTGCCAGTTACATTTCCATTGCATTGTTTTCTATGTAAGAGCAAAACCAGAGATTATCCCTATTAAGAGAAAATCTAAAACCATTGTTTTATGTCGCAGCTTGGGTTATTAAAACAAGAGACTCTGTGTGTTAAATATAATGAGGTCAATGAGTAAGTCCAATTTCCCATAATGAAGGAGATGTGAGGAAATACGATGTCTCAGCACAAATAAGTAAAACGAACACCATAGTCTCCAGGCTACGAGTTATAGAAAATAAACCATCATAGTTTAAGTAGAATCTCACAGGGAAGCTTCGTACTGGTCGTGACTCGGTTTCCCCACAGCAAGACACAGACTAAATGTCGGTTTGCTTTTAAGTAGAATCCCGGAGAACTGCAGCTCTGTTTGTTCTTAGAGTCACACGTTTTCAATACTCTGAGTTTGTCGACACAGCATCAGATGGGGTCCACCCCAGGCATTCTCAAACACACGTGTGTCCACTCGCTCTTCCCCCCAGGGTTGTCATGTGAATATCACTGGAATGTGTGGCCTCCATTTCCACCTATAAGTTTGCACAACACTGAACTAAGGTCTGCGGAGTCAAATTAGCCTGTCTCTCCCCCCTTCCTCTGGTCGCAGCTCCCTGACTTTAGAAGCCTGCTCTCGGCCACTGGCCATCGCGTGCAGGCTTAGGGGACCATCAACCAAGGAGCTCTTCCCCCTTGGCCACGGGTGGGGCTTGGACACAAGCCTGGTCAATGGAACTTTCTCACCCGGGACCCTGATCAGGGTGATGTTGGGGTGGGGGCAACTCCGCCCAGGGGCAGTTACCTGGACCCCCCCCCCAGAGCTGCTTGGAAACTGCCCTTTTTAACTTTGTTCTTGGCTGTTCCACCACTTTGTAAGTCCCCCTAACCTGCCTTCCCATCCAGATCCAGACACCTGACTAACCTGGCTGATGGCTACCTCCTCGCTAGTCCCTGAGGCCCAAACATTAGGACTGGTCATCAGGAGTCCTCCCAGGTGAGTCTGCAGGTGGGCAGCTAGGTCTTCTTGATAGGTAAAAGACGGCTTTAGAAGCCAAGGACAAGAACATCAGGAACATGGCCACCAGGGGGAGAGGGAGTGCAGGAGAGGGGCTGGGAGAGCCCAGGTACCAACAAACATGGCAGAGCACCGGAGTCATGCAAGGGGCAAGATGGTGGGGCCGAGAGAGTTCAGATCTCTCTGAATGGTTTCTCACAACCGCTCGTGAACCTACAATGATCTCAAAATAAAACATGTTTAAGATGGCAGAAAGTCGGGCACCTGGGTGGCTCAGTTGGTTAAGCGACTGCCTTTGGCTCAGGTCATGATCCTGGAGTCCCGGGATCGAGTCCCGCATCGGGCTCCCTGCTCGGCGGGGAGCCTGCTTCTCCCTCTGAACCTCCCCCCTCTCATGTGCTTTCTCTCTCTTATTCTCTCTCTCAAATAAATAAATAAAATCTTTAAAAAAAAAAAAAAGATGGCAGGAAGTCATCAGGCCCCCATCTTTAACTGCTCATCACACTACCCAGGCCCTTGCTCTGAGCTCATGGCGTCACCTCCTGCTGCACCAGGAAGCAAGCCACCCACTTTCTACTCCTCCACGTGGCGCCACACTCTCCCTGCTGAACCCACATGTTTCTGGTCTCCCCTGCATTTAGGAGCTGGCAGTGTCCCCACCCTGCCGACACCATTCACCCAGGGACTGCCCCCTCACCCCATTTCTCCAGCATCTGCTCCCTCCCTCCCCACCAAACCTGCCCCTGGATCCAAACTCGAACAGAACCCTCCTTTAAACCAGCAGTGTCTCTAGCCGCGGGTCTGGCCTTCCTTCCACTGCCAGACTCCCTAGGAACAAGGCCCTCTTTGCCCTCTGTCCTCACCACCCACTCACTCCGAGCCCACCTGCACCCGCTCCCCGAGCTCAGGCCCGCCTGCATCCCACTGCAGCCCCAGCCCTCTCCTCCTCTCCGCACCCCCTCACCTCCACCCCTCCTTACCCGACCCCTCCTCGCAGGGGTCTCCTCCAGAACATGAACGGGGAAGAACAGAGCCTTCCTCAAGAGACTGTTGGGGGGAGGGTATTATAGCAGCAAGTACTCAAAAAATTCGGACTCCCTAGAAACAAGGCCCTCTTTGCCCTCTGTCCTCACCACCCACTCACTCCGAGCCCACCTGCACCCGCTCCCCGAGCTCAGGCCCGCCTGCATCCCACTGCAGCCCCAGCCCTCTCCTCCTCTCCGCACCCCCTCACCTCCACCCCTCCTTACCCGACCCCTCCTCGCAGGGGTCTCCTCCAGAACATGAACGGGGAAGAACAGAGCCTTCCTCAAGAGACTGTTGGAGGGAGCGTATTATAGCAGCAAGTACTCAAAAAATTTGAAGGGGTCATGTTTGGAAGTCTGAGCAGGGAGGGGGCAGCGCCTCCCCATCGTGGCCACTGGGGGCGCTGTGTGTGCCCCGTGGGTCCGTGTGTGTGTGTGTGTGTGTGTGTGTGTCCAGTGGGGGCAGGATAAACCAACAGCCCAGGTGGCCTTTGCCCGAGCCTTGTTGCCCACCTCGAAGCCCACCGCTCCTCTGGCTGGAAGCACCTCTGTGATTGCAAGGTCACCGAAAAATCTGGCGATGTTCCCAGCTGGAGCGGCTCAGAGAAGCCTTCCTGCCCCTGGCGTATTGTCCTGAATTTCTGCAGCTTGTAGGAGAAGGTGGCTCCCGGTGGCCACAGCAACCCGGCCACACCCAGCAGACTCTGAAGGAATGCAGGTGAGTCCTGCAGCCGGGGGACAGCGCGGGGGCTGAGGCCGCTCGGTGGCCCTGCCCGGGAGCACCCGCTCCTTCTATGGCTGGGCCGCGCCTCCCTCCCACTCCCTCCTCCCCGCCCGAGGCCAGTAAGTTTTCCTGCGCGTTCCTGGTGGTTTCCGCTGACTCCACCTGGGGTCCGGCAGGGACAGGCGAGGAGCCCCTAGCGGTGAGGACAGAGGGCCGGGCAGGCTTCCTGTGCGAGGTCTGCAGCCCCAGGCCGGGCACTGAGTATTTTAAGGCCACACTCAGCAAGTATTGTGTGGTGGTCTCAGGGCTTGGCCCCAAGAGGCTGTCCTGGTGCTGACGTTCACCAGGGGCAAGCCTCGGTGTGCCCTCTGTAAAATGGGGTGATCCCGAGTGCCGCCCTCACGGACTTGCGTGTGCGGGAAGAGCCTGGCCCAGCATCTGGCACAGCAGGGTGCCACCACCGCTGCCCTTATTTACCCGACTTGGCATCCCTTCCAGATGGCATCTGGCCTCCCCTCCACCCCGAGCCCCCTGTCCCAGCCACGGGGAGCAGTGTGACAGCATGACATGGGATGAGGCTGCATTGTCTCCTGTGAGCACCGCCCACCCTTTGCCACGGAGCCCTGGTGAGGGTGGAGGAGGGGGGCCCACTCCGACTGCCTCCACATCTGGGCTGACTGTGCCGGGAGGGGGGAGGGGGGGCTCCCCTGGGAGCTGCTTCCCTATGCACTGCCTCACCCCCATTCCTGTTTCTCCTCCAGCACACCTGCGCAGGATCTCAGTTCCCAGGACTCCCCCTGGGGAGGCAGCTAATCTGCCCTAAGTCCTGGGCTCCCCTGCGGATCTGCATAAGGAAACCCTTTGTGAGGGATGGCAGGCTTTGAAGGAGGCGGCAGGGGTCCTTCCTCCAGACATCCCCAGCCATGTACCCAGAAGACCCACCTGCTGGGAGCCCGGGCTCCTTCAAACTGCATCTACATCAGTTTCCTATTTCCTTCTGTCCTGGGAGACAGGATATCCTGCCTGAGTCAGGAATTATTCCAACTCCTTACAGGAGCGTTCTACCCTTCCATGGAGTGACATCTCTCGAGCACCTGCCATGGAGGGCTTATGCTAGGCTCCGTGCCTAGCAATGAGAACACTCAACCCCCCGGGGCCAGGACAGCCTCCTGAGGAAGGTGGCTCCTGGGCTATGCCCTAGGGCCAAGCAGGAGCCGCCTAGCAATGGACGAGTGGGGTGGGGTGGGTCACACCACACTGAGCAAACAGCATGTGTACCAGCAGGGAAGCTTCTGGGAAGTGTGAGTGGTTCAGAGGGTGAGCCCACAGCACACAGGTGCTGGGAGGAGAGGCCAGGGGAGGGGGCAGCAGTGTGCTGGTGAGGGTTTCACAACCAGCCCTCTGCAAAAGGTAGTTCATGCGTACATGCGTGGGTCCGCGTACTCTCCATTCTGCTGGTGCAAAGGGAGGGTAGCACGCAATTTGCAAACAATAATAAAATAGATGGTACTTTTTACTGCAAATTCCATAGAGCCAATGAATGTACACAGAGCACTTTGGATCCTTTTGCCAAATTGTATTGGTAGCCAACTTACGGTCGCGGTTCAATTATGATTTGACGGTCTTTTGTGCTTTTCCCCATGCAACCGTTACAAACAGTTCATCTGCGTTATTAATAATTTCTCCATCACTTTCTTAAGTCTAGATAATCTACAAAAGTGTCAGCCCAGCCCTGATTGGTAGTGTTTCCTCGTGTCCGCTCTGCTCACTGTCCAGTCGTGGCTAATCACAAGCTGCCCCCATGACATCGCTGAACACAGAGCTGGGACAAGACGCGCGGCGGGGAAAGTGTCAGAATTTCTGCCATTCGGGTCCAACAGACACCAATAACCACAGAACGCAGGTGACAGGAACTTGTAATAAAGCAATTACAAAGTGATGAGTTTGGAGCATTTGTTACGTTTGTTTTCTTATTAAATTGTACACTGATAGGATTTATCAATACCAGGTAACCCTGGGCTCCCAGAGCCAGTATGAGCCAGCACCAGCCCACTCTGCAGGGAGAGGTGGAGATCAGAGGCAGGGACGGCCAGTCCAAGGTACGTGGGAAAGGGGGCCATGGAGGGCGCGGATGTGAACGCGCCACCCCCAGCTGAACGGACCCCCTGAGCGAGTGTACTATCTTACACCACAAAAGGATTAAGGTAACAGATGGAACTGAAGCTGTCAATCAGCTGGCCTCAAAATAGGGAGATTATTCTGGATTGCCCAGGGGGGCCCAAAGGAGTCATGAGGATCCTTCAGTATGGCAGAGGGAGGCAGGAGAGAAGCTCAGAGTGATGGGGGCACAGAGGTGGCCCCGCCGATCTACTTTGAAGTGGAGGAAGGGCCACGAGCCAGGAAGGGGGGTGGCCTCTGGAAGCTGGACGTCTCCCCCCAGAGCCTCCCGGAGGAGCCTACCCTGCAGACGCCTCCATTCAGCCCAGTGAGGCTTGTGTCAGACTTCCAGCCTCCAGAAGCATAAGGTGATACATTTGTGTTGTTTTAGACCACAAAGTTTGTGGAAACTTGTTACAGCTACCACAGGAGCCTAGTGCATACAGCTGCCGTGGTTCTCCCCGCCCCCTTCTTGGACCACTGTGACCGGCCGTGGCGGGGACCGGCCAAGGGGGGCCCTGGGCAGTCACTGAACTTCACTCAAGAGGAAGGAGGGCTGCAGTATTGATCTTATCAGGTCCTTATGAGGATTAATCAGGATCATGAACCGAAGGGCTTAAAGCAGCGCTGCCCTGCACGGATCACCTTTGGCCGTGGCAGCAACGGGAAGCAGAGGAGGGTTGAGTCCTTATGAAGCCCGCTTCTGCGGGAGGACTGGGTTCTCTTTTCCCAGAAACAGCCGTGGTTGAAAGTGAACCCTGCCCTCAGGACAAGGGCTGCTGTGCATTGTTTCCCAACAGACGCAGCTGCAGAATATGCCGAATTCCGACCGCAGCGTGGCCCCGGGCCAGCAAGACTGGTGCCGTTTGTGTTTGCCTTTGTCCTTTACTGACTTGGGAGAGAGCCATCTCTGGGCGTTGTGTCCTTCAGGCAGATCAGCAAAGCAGAAAACGCCTCTTTTCTCGGGCACAGCTGGGCTGGGGGAGCGGGCGCCTGCCCCCCGTCTTCCGAGCGCGTGGCTCAGGTTTCCAGCCGACCGCTTGCCTCCAGCCCGCTGTGCCCCACCTGAGAGCAGGTGCAGGGAGGCGGGCAGGGGCCGTCAGGGGCCGGGACATGGACAAGCAGACGGCATTTTTACCAAAGCAGCTGCTGAGAGAAGGAGGGGTACAGGTCAGAGACCAGGACTGCTTCCTGTCACAGAGGTACCCCCCGACACCCCAGGTCTCAGCAGACTTTGTCCCCCACTGTCTCATCTCGGACCAGCCAGAGGTCCCCGAGCCCTTTCAGATTCAAGGGTGTTGGCCTCGAAGTCTGGAAAAATCCACACGATGGACTTGTTGCCTGGGGACAGAAGGGGGTGCCATTGGGGTGCCAGGCTCATCTTTCTGCCAGGGCCCCCAGCCGTCCTCCTCCCACCCTGGCCTGGTATTTCCAGCTGATCCTCTCCCTGTCCCCTCAGCATCCCCAGATCGGGCCCACGAGGCGAGGGGAAGACAAACCCGAGACCTCGGGAGTGAGGGGCTGAGCACTGGGCCCGGGGGAGGGTGAGGCCCAGGGAGGGGGTGAAGCTCTAGTGCAGAGACCACCTGCCTGGCTCCCACGGGAAGTCAGGGCCTGGTGGCCGAGGACCGGGCAGCACCGCCTGAGTGGCGGATGGTGTGACATCGAGGACAGGGCTGGAGGTGCACTCACGGGAACCCCACGCACAGTGTCCAAGTCCTCCAGAATCACAGGGACACCCGAGGCTGCTCATTCCTTCAGCCCTGCGGAGGGTACAGAAGCTGGTGCCAGAAAGAAGAGACAGCCTCCTTATCGCTCCACCACGGAGAAGGTGGTGATACCTGTCATGGGATCAGAATTACGGGCAGTAGGGGAGACCTGAAACTGCCGTTTGGCCCTGCATGCACGTGGGCTGTGGAGGGAGGGAGGCCAGGGGCTCGCAGGCTCCTGGGTCAGACGGGCAGGGAAGGTCTGGCTAAGCAGAGGGCTTGTCGGCGGCAGGGCCCGGCCTATCGTAGGAGGGAGGGCAAGATGAAGCTTGTAACAACAGGCATGAAAGAAAGGGGCCCGGCTCAGCTGCAGCCTGCGTGCCTCCCCCAGACTCCAGCCCCAGCAAAGTCTTCCTCCCACCTGCTCACCTAGGGCCTGCCGTGCAGCCGAGCTCCCTGCTGGGCACTGAGGTTCAAGTTCACAGTCTCCACGGTGCCTGTGAGCATGCTTCACCGTGGAAGGGCACACCAGTGCCCTGGGACTTTCCTCCAGGCCCTTCTCCCTCAGGCCTGACCTCGTCCCAGCCCCCAGTGACGAGCAAAGGTCGCTGAACAGTAAGAGCATCCAGCAGCCTGGCCCTCTCGGGCTCACCCCCAATGTGTCCAGCCTGCAGACACCCAGCCTCTTGTCTCTGCCTCACCTGTTCATTAGAGGCCACAGAACCTTCTGGACTCCAGTAAATGAGGAGGGAAGAGCCACAGGAAGGAAGCTATAGGGTCTTTCCTGGATTTTCTAAATATTCTGACATGGTTTTCATAAAACACTTCTAATGCTACCAACCACCGCTGAGCCCCAGCAACAACGTGCGCATGCAGGGACCGGAAGCCTGGGACCAGCCACTGGCCGTGCCTCGGCCGCCTCTCCTCCAGCGATCGAGGATCGAGGTCTCTGGACACCTGGGGGATGGGAGGGTCTGTCCCACTGTCTGTCCCATGGCTTCTCTGCACTCTCCGCCTGTCTCCCATTATAAGGTGTAGAAGACTCAAACTTGCATCCTTTTTCCTGGCGTCTGAGTATAGATATGGCCCCACACTCAGAATGGCCCCACGGGCGCACTGCTGTGCAGGGATCTCTTACCCAAACTCACGAGGATGCCGCAGGGCGGGATCTATTCAGAACTTCGACAGGTGGCTGTAAACACAGCTCCAGACTTGAGATGTGCACTACTGGTGATTTGGGGGTAATTTTCCACTGAAAATTCTGCAAGCTAAGTATGTTTTGTCTCACTTTTAGTTCCTTGGGGATTTGTGGTTGTGTCCACCACCCCACCCGTCCTTTAATCACAAAATCCACAGAAATAAGACTGGAGTTCGCTGATGAACTTTGCAATACTTGGGCTTCTTGGCACCAGCTTGGTGAGAAAGAAACCCAACCTTTGGTGGGTCTGGGCCATGGGGCAGGGAGCCCGGAGCTCGGTTCGCAGGACCCCGGCCCCGCACCCCAGGTGTGGCGAAAGCCCGCAAGCCCAGGGCGCCGCATGGGGCCTTAGGAGCTGGACTTGGGCTCCGGCAGCTCCGACGAGCTCCAAGGCTGCGATATGGGGACAAAGAGGAAGATGAGAAATACTGGTCCCCAGAAACCTAAGTTTTTCAATCAGGTCAGTGCTGCCTTGAATCAAACCCCTAGATAAACGGATTAAACCCCACGTCCGCCTGAAGTCCTTTCTGTCCAGGACTGAAATACTCAGATCACCATGGTTACCGACATGTTTATTTTGCTGAGCCGATGGCAACTTCTGCTACTCTAAAGAGAGTATTTATAAACACTTGGAGATGTGTAAAATACAAGGCAGCCAGAATGACCGAGGGAAGCTCTCCCCGACCCCACCGGCCAGTGCCGGTGGTTTTCCACGGCTGGGGCATGGAGCCCCCGGCCAAGCCCCCCACCCACAACCATGGTCCAGCTCTGCCTGGGTTTGGGGTGATCCCCCAGCTCTGCTCTCCAGGACTCCTCCCTGCACATCTCCTTTGCTGATTTCCATCTGCATCCTTTTGTTAGGATAAACTAAACCTCTGTGTCCTGTCTTTCTAGAAGATCACTGAACCTAAAGATGGTCTTGGGGAGCCCGGGCACATCCTTCTTCCCCCCAAAATGTCCCTGACTGGAGCCTCTGTTGAAACAGGATTAAAATGATTCCTGCCCTCGGGGTGCCTGGGTGGCTCAGTCGTTAAGCCTCTGCCTTCGGCCCAGGTCATGATCCCAGGGTCCTGGGATCGAGCCCCGCATCGGGCTCTCTGCTCTGCGGGAAGCCTGCTTCTCCCTCTCCCACTCCCCCTGCTTGTGTTCCCTCTCTCGCTGTGTCTCTCTCTCTTTGTCAAATAAATAAATAAAATCTTAAAAAAAAGAAAAAAAGATGATTCCTGCCCTTTATGGGAGAAAGGGATTTGTCTTTCATCATTCCCACAACAGGGCTGGGATGGGTGCAGAGGGGAATGCAGACTGGGTCCTATCTCCCCGACCCTCCCTTCCCCGTGCAGAGTGGCCCCCTGACGGGCACTGGTCAGCAGCAGGCGGGCGCAGAGCTGGGAAGCCCTGGGAGCTGAGGACCAAGAAGCCAGAACCAGGGCAGGACAGTGGACACGCCCCAGGACAGCGACCTTGATCCCTAGGCACCTCTTCCCCCCTCCGCCCCGGCCCCCATGCTGTTCCTGTCCCCCTGGCTGCAGGTGAAGGAGGTGCTCAGGGGAGAGGCCCTGTAGCTTGCGGCGTGGCCTCCTTCTGGGTGTGGGGTGGGAGGGGGGAGCTCTGTGTGAACCTAAAAAGCTGGGTCCCCTCAGACCCTGGGGCTGCCCAGAGAGAGTCGTGGTCCTGCTGCCCTGAGGAGGGCACAGAAGGACCAGCTTGTTGGTCAACAGCCTCTATGAATGGACAGGCTGCTGAGGAGGCTCCTGCAGGGTGTGGGTCCTGTCTGCCCTTGAGCGGGTGAAGAATCACACCAGCCTTGCTGGGAAGGAGAAAGCGTGCTGGTGGGTCTGCCTTCCTGTCCTGAGCAGCCAGGCACCCGGAGAGGCCAGCTTATGTTAGTGTCAGCATGGGCTGTGGGCAGGCGGACCTTACTGGGGGCCAGCAGGTCACTGTGGCCTGGTCAAGTGGGGGAGGCTCATGAAGGAGGGCTGCCTCGGGCAAAGAGCTGACGGCTTCGAGGAAGGCCTTCTCGCTCATGGGTGTTGGGCGA